TAGATATCAACTCCCTCCGTGTCTTCTAAAGATAAATATGAACAAATATTAGCATGAGATTGTTTTTTTATTATTACTTCTTTATTCCCTCGGAAAAGTTTTCTTCCTGGTACAGAATGATAGAGTTGATATTAAGAAAGCAAGACTGTACTAGACACTGTATAATAAGTCCTCCAGCTTTTTACTCATTAAGACCTCACAACACGAGGCTTATAAGTTCCCAAACATCAGGCGCTTTGATCTAATCCTGGAGCTGAGAACAATCTAATTTTTCCATCTTATTTTCTCCTATTAACAAGAACAGTCACTCTGCAAGTCTTCAGAAGAGACCCTATTTGATGTTCTGTAAAAGTCAACCCCCACCCTTCTTTCTTCTCCCTTCGCTCCCATCCCTACAGCCGCCTCAACAGAAGCTGAACCAATTCATTAGAAGGCTCAGAAAGTCAATTATGGTAATAGTTCCCAATGCCAGAGAAGGTGGAAACTCAGCAAAGCCAGATACTTTTTATTGCACTTCTTATACATATTCTTCTATATATTTTATTTAGGCCCCATTTAGATGTGCAAATCAATCTTCTGAAGTAAAGAGGGCAAAAGGGCTGGAGAGACAGAGAGAGAGATGGAGAGGATGAAGAGGGAGGCATTGGTTCCAAGGATTTCACGCAGTGGAGCAAAGACGAAGTGATGATAGAGGAAGGGTAGACCCAGTGTCAGGAGACCATCCACAGGAATCCCTTTTACTTATTCATGCAGCAGCCGAGCATCAGGGAATCTCCCAGCCTCATTATGAAATGTGTATTTGCAGAAGCTCACACAGTGGTGCAGCTCTTGCTTGAAAGCCTCTGCTTATCCACTCCACTCTCCTCCCTTCTCCCTCTCTTTTTTAGATCAGATCACTCTAGGGAAGCAATGTCTTGCTTCATTCATCAAGATGCCTCTCCTACTGTCCTAAATCCCTCTCTTTCTCTTTTCTATAAAAGGGAAAGCTGGCTAATTTCAACAAGTTTGTGTAGCTGGCATGGAAGGGAGGCGATGCTTGAGCTGAAGTTTGCATTTACTTATCATCTGTTTTTGTGCCAATTTGAGTGACAGGCAGAGCAATGACAGCAGTGCACCACTGAGCATTTGCATTTAAAGTCATGTATGAATGCATGTTAAAATGTGTGAAACTAAACATGTATTCTGCTTTTAAAATGCATACTGTATGTGTGCTGTAAATACTATATGCTTTTCAGTAAAACATTCACTAAACCCATCCCCTTGATTTTGTAATCATTGCTTAGTATCTGTGGCTAGGCACGGCAGACCTGTCAAGCTTTGGTTTTCTCCACATGGTGAAGCAGTGTGCTTTGGGCTGTAGTAACAGCAATACTTTGCCTTAGAAGAGTTTGGAGGGTGATGTCTGTTTTGTCTCCAAAGCCTGTCCAACATAAGCAGACTAGTACTAACCTAACCCTGCATTACTGTAAGACCAAGTAGCATATCATTAGCTAACTCCATTTTGTGAAGTTACTTATGTCCAAAAATACTCTTTCCTAATAGCACATCCACTGTGTGTAGCTCTGTCCTGCTGTTGATTCAATTTGTATAAGTTTACACTCCCTAGCCAGCATTATCTGAGATTGCATTATGTTTGTCATACATACTGGTTAGTCCTCATACTAAAAGTCTTTTCTCTTGGAACGTTACAATGGAAAAATACTATTTGAAAATACGAATAATAACATATAAATCTAACCTCTGTCTTGCTTGTCCAAATGTATAAGCCTAGGGTTATGTTAAAATGGAATCAGACACTGTCTGATTTGATATCTTTCCTTATAAGATCAGCCTTCTTTTTCTTCAATGTCTTCCACATGGATTGTTATCTGGTGAGGGGGCTTTTTTTTTGGCATGCAGCTTTAGTATTTTAGCATGACATCATGTATGTAGCCATCAAGTGTATATTTAAGATCCCTTTTCGAGACTCATGTTTTAAAATAACTTAGCTAGAAACATTTAAAAGTCAGCTTGTGACCGCATTTTCAAATGCTTGTCGTTACAGCTTATAAAATCTGCCATGTGTTGTTTCAGCCGACCAAATCCACAGTCGCTGGCTAGAAATGTGAAGCCTGCTTTTTTCTACTTATGTCTGATATCAAGGATCAGTTGTTTAAAGGGAATTTCGAATTGTAAATCTGCCACCATCATCATTGAAAACTTTATTTTGATAGTGTGACCGTACATACTACTCAGGCATAGAGCTTAAAGGACTGGTGTGTAGTGGCATATAGCAGTGAAACTGTCTCAACTGAACCACTCGCCTTCCACGCGTGTAGGACAAACTACAGTAAAACCTGAAAGGCCCTATCTAGAGGCAGTGTTTGGTTTGTCTATTCTAGGCCACTGTAGAAACCTGGTGGTTCAACATGGCGGCCTCCATGAAAGAGGACCCGTAGATAAGAACATCTCATTCTTATGTAAAAAAAACCCACAATGATTGTTATTTTAAGGTGTACATGAATATTATATTCCATTTCTGACAATAGATCCTCCCAAATGTTACACACTGCACCTTTAATGTTAAAGTGAATTAAGATTCCACTCAGATTACAATATCTCAACCATACAGCCCCATCCTGTTCTTCAATACTTTTTCAGTTCAAAGGTCGCTCCCAGTAGCTCCAGCTCATTTCAGAGTAGAACCTATTTGTATATTTGCCTCGTACGATGCCACCTCAGCGCAGTGTTGTTCTTTCAGATTCTTTTCTGTGCCTCCTTCCTCGGGCCCAGAGGGAGGTAAAAAGAGTCAGGCCTCTTCACTGGAGCTCAGCAGCCACCATTAGAGAGACTAGGTTGACCCGTGGCATGAAATTAAGGAGCTGAGGCCCATTGAGCTGCCCAGCTGATAGAGGCAGAGGATAATAAATCCACTGAGAAAGAGGAAGGGAGGGAAGAGTGGAGGGAGGTTAAGAAGGAGGGGGTGGGTGGGATTGATGTGGCAGCCCATGCAGCCTCAGGGGCACTCAGGATCCCTTTATTAGCATGGCTATTTTCACCCTCTCCTTCAATGGTCTGTCTCTTCATTGAGCAGAAGCATCAACATGCACACACACACACTAAAACACCCTGTCATATACTTTGTGTTCCCTTTCACTTTCTCCATGCTCTTTCATAATGAGGCAGCTGAAGTCAATGACATATGCAGCATGTAGTTATGTGTGTAGAGTGTGCATTATAGGAGAAAACAAATATTTGACCTTTGCTGGACGTACAAAAAATGGTAGAAATGCTAGAAAAGGTTAGATAGTTGTGTGGACATTTACAAAAATATTCATAGGATAGATGGTAAGGTCACTGAAATAAAAAGAGATACCTGCACATAAATCGTAGCTTCCTTAAAGGATTAGGTTGGCTGTATTTTATATTATCAACAAGTCCCATAAAATGTCTGGAATTAACAGTGCATCTCTGAATACGTTCCAATATGCCCAGCCTGTCTGTGGCTCTTAGCCCCAAGCCCATTCATTTCTAAGGTCTGTGGCACAGAGGAATAAACTGTATCAAGCTATGGCAACACTTGTTAATAGGATCAATTTATTATTGATTTTGGTTGTGTTTGTTGACTATAAACAGTATAGAATATCATCAGAGGCTAATAAATTATTAGTGTGCAGCTGGTGGAATAGATTTTCAGTATGTGGATACTTTTATTTCATGCATAAAATGTTCATTCATAGACAAAGGAAGTACACATAACATACCACAACCACTCTGTAGTTGCACTCATAAATTATGTTTTATGTGGACCCAGACACAGAACACAGATTAGGAGGCAGAAGGCTGAAGTTTAATATTTTTATTGAATATTTACAGTTTGTAGAGATGGATTCAGGAGATGGGATGGCTGGTTATGAGAGAGGGCCAGAAAGGGATACCATGCCGACAAACACACACAAAAGAGAGACAGACCAACAGGGGAGCACTGGAAATCCAAAGAAAGGGAAAATACAGGCCATGGCCATGACATAAATATAGTATATGAACATAAATATGAGTAAATATGTATGTTTGTGCATCCTTTATTTGTATAGCGTTTATAGCAACAAGAAAAAAGGCAAAAATATGTGCATAATACATGGTAATGCAATGAATAGTGTGTAAATAAACACAGTGTGTGTTTGCATTTTTTTTTCCTCCTCGACCAGTAAACCTGTCTTTGTGTGTTGTGTTTGTTTAACCTCACCAATGTGTTTGACAGTGGCATGAAAGAGAGAAAGAGGGACTGCAAGATTAAACCCAAACTTGGCAGAGTTTCATGCAATCCGACGCAACACTGGCGCAAAGGGAGCGCTTTTCTGAGGGCTTTTCATAAACCTCTCCGTTATGAATTACTGCTTATGTAATTGGCATTCAAGCACCGATTGGCTGTGCACCACGACATGAGGAAAAGCCTGGAAAAATTATCTGACGTCACATCTGAAAATCTAGGCATTCACAGCAGACAAACGCCTTACAAGACACAGCTTGGATCCTGCATTTTTCACCTTAAAAAACAGATTATTTGCTTTAAAGCTAAGAAAACTGCTTTAAATATGGCAGTCTGACAACAAACACAAACCTATATTAGAAGTACACAAAAACAAAAAATACACGCTAAAACTTTGGTTGGATTTTATTCACAAGAAATGCTTCAATCCTTCTTTCAAATAATTCTGTGAGGTCCGGTTGTCTACACTTTGATAATTAAAAGACACTCAACTTAAGCAGATTTTAATGGAAGTCTTGGCATGAACTCAAAGTTATAATCCTGGTGTAATTATAATCAAATCTGATTCTTGCCCATTTCTTTGCCATCTGTTCTTTTTGACTTAATATCATGTTTTCTTTCTTTCCTTCCTCCTCCCTTCTTTCTTCCTTCCTTGCCTGCAGGGTTTTAAGGACACAGTCGCTTGAATGGTATTATAACAATGTGAAGAGTCGCTTCAAGAGGTTCGGCAGCGCCAAGGTTTTGAAGACTCTGTACAGGAAGCACATTATAGAGAGAGGAGCGCTCTCTGATCTCCCAGGTAACATCATCCTCTTGCACTTTTTAAATCAGCCATGCATAGCTCTTTGTTTTGTTGCCATTCTTTTGCTGTTTATTTTTATCTTTTAATCATTTTGATTGCAGAGCAGCCTTCTGTCTCTGTGCAACGTCGTGTCATGTTGTGATAAAAGCAGTTTTCACCGAGGCTTACCGCCGAGATGTAATATAACTTCCTCATCTCAAAAATAGAAGTGGCTTTATTTGAAACGTAACGCTCTGGTCGGACATTAAGAGTAAACACAGACAAGCTGACTTGCTCATTAGTTTGCTTTGTTAAATGATCACTCACTTTGTTTTACACATTTTGTTCTCTCGCTGACTGATTCACTTAATTACTTTCTCACTATGTAGAAAGAAAGATTTTTCCCACAGACAAATACACACATCTCCAGAGTTAGGTTCAGAGTGGGTGTTGGTTGCATGTAACTATTTGTATTTTCACTTTTCTTACTTAAAGTTAATTTGAACACAACACAGTTTATTTGATTTAAGGAATCCACTTCATTCCATGGCTGCCATTTAACCTTAGTCTTTGTTGCTTTTGCGCCTGTGGATGTGATGAGAACTTGTGAAATTTCTACAAGGCAGTGTTTGTGTGTGAGCGTGTCAGCAGTGATGGTGACAGACTGCGGGTGAGTTGCCCTGCAGGACTCGTCCTGCCAGTTAATCCCTGCGGTGGCTCAGGCCACTTTGCGTCCTCAGTGAATTGTTCCTGTGCAGGACAGCAGCGGGGCAGCTTTTATCCATCCTCCCCCGCTCCAGATAACATTGTTTTGACCCGTCTGCGACATGATCGGTCTGCCTCTGTGGCTGACTGCAAGGCATTATTTCAAACCCTGGTACATGGGATTAAATGGATGAAGAGAGCACAGAGGGGATGAATCAGGTCAGACTTGAGGCAGAACTGGATGTGATGAGAGGATGTTTAAGAATACTTTCTGACTACAGCTGACGTTTATATACTAAATGTTATGGACAAAATGAATACCATTATAATTATAAGAAGGTATTTCTGCTACGGTGCAACCCACACAGTGGAGGGATGCAGCTACAGTATAACTAGCTGGCAAGGCTAGTAACATTTATGTCTGTTATTATTGCAGCATCCTTACATTTTACTTTTTGCAGACAGCATTGTAAAAGCCAACACAACTATCTTGATAAAAACATAACGCATATATACAATAATAACACAAAAACAATTGAAGAAGTGCTCTACCCAGACAATAAAGAAAACCCTAAAAGGTTAATGTGATAAAAGCAAAGAAAAAATCCATCCAAGTGCCTTTAATCCTTTTATTAACTATGATGCATGCATCAGTCATAATCTCAAGTGTAAGAAAGGAAAAACTAAATGGATGACATTTTCTCATTTTACAGTTAATTTACTTAATTTTACTAACATAATAATAAGTCGGAATCTTTATCAGAACAATCATGTTTTTTGTTGCGACTGTTTCTGTTGTGTTTGAGAGGAAAAGATGATTCTCCCTCTAAACCTCCAGTTTTCTGATTTCCTCTCCACTTTTCTCCACCTAATAATGTTCCCCTCTCCTCTCCTCTACTCTCTTCTCCTGTCCTCTCCTCTCCTCTTCTCTCTTACATCATCTGGGGTGGAGATGGAAGGATTATGTGACTCAGCTGCTGGTCTTCCCAGCTCACATGAGCCCAACAGATTATAACGCTTCCAATTCTCGAATACTCGCATCGCCGCTCCCACTAACTGGCTAGCTGACTTGCCATATGATTATGGATAGACTGTGTGTGCATGTGTAGGTTGTTTGTGTGTATCTGAATGTTAAAGCTCAGGTCAGATGTTGTTGCCTCATACAGGAGAATGTTAGATTTATTGGCTGAGAAAGATCTGGGATCATTTTTTTTTTTTCATTTTTTGTATCCTTGTGTGTGTTTCCATGGAAATGTGAATGAATTCAAACATATTGTCAAAATGTTAGCAAAAAAAAGCCAAGGCTATCAGACTTATCAAAAACATGATTAGGCTTTAATTTATATGAAAGAAAATGCCTTTTATAACCTCTTTTGCTGCTGATTAGGTCTACAGCAGTCACAAATTATCATGACGTATATCAAGACATCTGTGCTTTTAGTTGAACAGAATATAATGTTATTTTAGTTCAGCAAGTAAATTAGTACTGGATTGGAAAAAAATTTAATTAGATAGGGATGTTGCTCATTAACAAACTGATGTTACGCCATCTCGCTTGGTCTACTTTGCTCCAAGTAAAGGAGCTTTTGTTATGTAGCCCAGAGACTCTTACAGAGTCTTAATACTGGTCTCCTCTCCTCATGCATATAGAACAGCAGCCACAGGAATGTAAAACATTCTCGTAAACTGTTTCCCAACCATATGTGAAATAGAGGCTACCTCTATACGTGTGCTAGTAAATAATGTTTAATTTTTTTCATTTATCACCAAGGGACCAATGGTTGTGAAATCAATTCTGTTCAAGTGTGAAATGGCAGCTGAACATGACAGTCGGCGAGAGAGAGATGTGACTGTTTTACATCTGTCATGTCCCCGAGAGAGTGTGTGACCTTCAAACCAACAGGAAGAGGACAGGGAGAGAGCGATTTGTACTTTCACGTCCATCAGCTCCGGTGGTAGGGGAGCAATGCTCCTGTGTGACCTACATCATACCATCCTATATATGTGTGTGCACAGGAGAAAGTGAGTGTGTTACTCTGCATGATATGTGGCCCCTGGAGAGTTTGAACATTGTACATGGATGAAGTGTTGGTGACAACATGCTGTAAAGAAGAACAAATAGCACATTAGAAAAGAAAGAAAGAAGACTTAAATGGAATCACCCATCTATTGTAATTTTTGCTTGAGCAGCTGGATTTCCTTTTTTTTCGTAACTGGTCCAAGTACCTCATTAAGTGCATCGGCAGATGCCAAGCACTGATCCGAGCGCCTTTTAAATTAGTAATTAATGCCTTGACTCCAGTATAGCATGAAATCAAACAAATAAATGTGCACAGCAGTTGTGTTTACTCATATATTTATGAATCCTGAATAGTCTTAGCCTGTGAAGCACAAGAAGTTACATGTCAACAAACAGTATTATTAAATGTGACAGAGAACTGTGGAGACACTGTATAGTGTTGTGGTAAAAGGTTAGAGGAAAAACTGTTCTTTCAAGTAAGATAAGCACATGAAGCATCTTATTTTTTTTAATTGAAATGAACTAATATAATAATATCTGTACAAGTGGATAAGCACATTCTTGGGATTAGGTTTGAGACAGAAGAGTGAAAAAATCAAAGCACGTGTAAGGATTGATTACCTCGAATTACATTGCTTTCTTGTGCCCAAAAGAAAATTGATATGGAGGCAGATTCAAGTGCGCACTAACATGTCTCTATGCTAAATATGAAACTACCACCAACAGCCAGTTATCTTAGCTTAGCATAAAGACTGGAAAAGGGAAAACAGTCAATACATTTGTTTCATTTGTGCAAAAACCAAGGTGTGACACTATCTAGTCTTACGGGGAACCTTGCTAGGCAGCTGGACTTGCAAGATCAC